GGCCCCAAGAAACCTTCTAGTGCCAACCCTACAGGAATAAGGGTGAGAATTACTATAGAGATGAAGAAAGAGATCATTGCTAAGTATGAAAGTGGAGTGCGTGTCTCCGAGCTGGCCAGGTTGTATAGTAAACCCCAATCAACCATCGCTACTATTGTGTCCAACAAAACGGCAGTCAAGGAAGCTGTTCTTGCCAAAGGTTCAAAAGGCTAGGAAGTTGCATGAGGATTTAATAAAACAAATGCCTGCAACTAGTGATGATGTGAGTGAATTTAAGGCAAGCAAAGGTTGGTTTGAGAGATTTAAGAAGCATAGTGGCATACATAGTGTGATAAGGCATGGTGAGGCTACCAGTTCGGACCACAAAGCAGCTGAAAAATATGTGCAGGAATTCAAGGAGTACATAGACAGTGAAGGACTGAAACCTGAACAACAAGTGTTTAATTGTGATGAAACAGGCCTGTTTTGGAAGAAAATGCCAAGCAGGACCTACATTACTCAGGAGGAAAAGGCACTCCCAGGACATAAGCCTATGAAAGACAGGCTTACTCTGTTGATGTGTTCCAATGCTAGTGGTGATTGCAAAGTGAAGCCTTTATTAGTGTATCACTCAGAAACTCCCAGAGCGTTCAGGCAAAAGAATATCCTCAAGGCTAATTTGTGTGTGCTGTGGAGGGCAACGCTGTATAGCCCTTGTGGCTTAGCGCTTCTTTTTGATTATAATAATAATGTGGAGGGCAAACAGTAAGGCATGGGTCACTAGGGACTTTTTCTATGACTGGTTACACCAAGCATTTGCCCCCAATGTGAAAGATTACCTAACTGAAAAGAAATTAGACCTTAAGTGCCTCCTGGTGTTAGACAATGCCCCTGGTCATCCTACAGACGTGGCAGAGCGACTTTATGGGGACATGAGCTTCATTAAGGTGAAGTTTTTACCTCCTAATACCACTCCTCTTCTGCAGCCCATGGACCAGCAGGTTATTGCAAACTTCAAAAAACTGTACACAAAAGCTGTGTTTGAAAGGTGCTTTGTAGTGACCTCAGAAACTCAATCGACTCTAAGAGAGTTTTGGAGAGATCACTTTAATATCCTCAATTGTGTAAGCCTTATAGGTAAGGCTTGGGAGGGAGTGACTGAGAGGACCTTGAACTCTGCTTGAAAGAAACTGTGGCCAGAATGTGTAGACCAAAGGGATTTTGAAGGGTTTGAGGCTAACCCTGGGAATCCTTTGCCAGTTGAGGAATCCATTGTGGCATTGGGAAAGTCCTTGGGGTTGGAGGTTAGTGGGGATGATGTGGAAGAGTTGGTGGAGGAGGACAATGAAGAACTAACCACTGATGAGCTGCTAGATCAACTTCAACAGCAAGAGGCCAGACCTGAGGAAACTGCTTCAGAGGAGGGGATAGAGAAATTGAAGAAGTTGCCTTCTTCAAAGATTAAGGAAATGTGTGGAATGTGGCTTAAAGTGCAAACCTTTTTTGATGACAATCACCCTAACACATCTATTGCAAGCCGTGCTGGTGACTATTACACTGACACTGTTGTGAAACACTTTAGGAAAGTCATAAAGGAACGAGAGGTACAGGCCACTGTGGACAGATATGTTGTGCAACAGAAGTCCAGTGACTCTGAAGCTGGTCCTAGTGGCATTAAAAGAAGAAGGGAAGTAACCCCAGAAAAGGACTTGACACCTCAAGTCTTAATGGAAGGGGATTCCCCTTCTAAACACTAAGACTCTCTCCTCCTCCCATCCCATCAATCATCACCAGATCTTCAATAAAGGTAAGTGTCATGTAACTGTGCATGCCTTTTTCAGTTTGTATTAAAATTAATATTTCATGTGGTAAATTTTTTTTTTTCATACTTTGGGGTGTCTTGCACGGATTAATTTGATTTCCATTATTTCTTATGGGGAAAATTCATTTGCATAACGATGAGCTCTCAGGAATGGATTAATATCATTATGCGGGGGTCCACTGTACGTCGGAAACCCTGAAAGGGTTAACCCTTTCAGGGTCAGAAAGCCCTCTCCTAAACTTGTTCTCAGGGCCTGAAATTTTTCGAAAAAAAAAAAATATTTTTTCTTATGAAATGTTAGAGAATTTTTTCCCGATCATAATGACACAAAAAGTATGAAATTTGATGGAAAAACTCAGGGAATTATGCTCTCACGAAGTTAGCAGTCTCGGCGATGTTTACGCTTCGGCGATTTTGCCTACTTTCAGCCCTATTTTTGGCCAATTCCAATGTACCAGTCGACCAAAATCATAACTATTTTCCTAGAATTCCATTTTTTTCTATCAATTGAGTACAAGAAACAACCCATTTACCTATTTCAACTATCCAGTAAAGTGGTCAGAAATTGGCAATTTTGCCAATTTCACTCAAATTTCAAAAGATGCCAATTTCCAAATAGGGTCCAGAATAAACAAGACAGACATTCCTGGCACTAAAATAACATTTCCTCTGTTCATTAGTCACATCCCCAGGCCTCTGTTACATTTCTTTTGCTTTCCAGTTTAAATTTTTATTCTCCCAAAAATAGAAGATTTACTGTTATGCAGACTACTGCATTAGTGTAGAAATGGTGTAGAAATAATATAAATAATATCAGCTCACTTGGGAAAGAATATTAGGCTCATCAGTTGACGTGTATTAGACGCATAGCATGATTTGTTTACTTTTGAACTTTGGCAAAAATTGAACATTTCTGCTACTTTGAGCTCAATTTAAAGGTACTTTTCATTGTGAAACCAATCAAAATCATCTCAATTTCCATAATATGTCTTCCATTCTATAAAATGAGACCAGGAAAACTAGAATACAGTGGTCCCTCGCTTTTCGTAGTTCTCGGCAATCATAAATTTCGCCAATCATAGGGGTATTTTCGTATAAACATGGACTGGCTTTTCATAGGTTGACTCGCAAATAGTAGTTCGTCCGGGACGCGTATGCACGGTGTGAGCCGGGGAGCCCTCCCTACCCAGCCTGTCTGGCATTGTTTACCAGTGAGTGAAGGTCCCCTCAAGTGCTCCTACGAAATATTTCATAATATTCCACTCATTTTAGTGCTTGCAAGTACTAAATAAGCTACCATGGCTCCAAAGAAAGCTCCTAGTGCCAAGCCTGTGGTAAAGAAGGTGAGAAATATGTACAGTGACAAAGTCTTGGGCCATTTTAGGGAAGTGTTAAAGAGATGCCAGAAACAGAGCTCTCTCCACAGTTACTTTGTGAGACAGGACTCCAGTGACTCTCAAGGTGGTCCTAGTGGCATTAAGAAACAGAGAAGAGAAGCAGCCCCAGAGAAGCAATTGGTACCTGAGGTGTTCCTGGAAGGGAATTCCCCTTCCAAACTGTAAACAATCCAATCTCTCTCCTCCTCCAGTCTCCCATTCACTAAGAAGAATCTCCAATAAAGGTAAGTGTTATGCTGTTAATGTTTCATTCATCATTTCCCATTGTATTGTTTATGTACTACATCTATATTTCATGTAAAAAAATTTTTTGTTTTAGTACTTCTGGGTGTCAGGAACGGATTAATTGTATTTACATTATTTCTTATGGGGAAAATTGATTCGCAAATTGTAAATTTCGTTTATAGTGGCTCCTCCAGGAACGGATTAATTACAAAAAACAAGGGACCACTGTACAACCATAAAAGCCATACAAAAATACACTGTAAAGTCACTGTTTTAAACCAAAAACACAGTCAGATTTTTTTTTCTCATTATGCACTGTGTGCTGCAGGATTTTTTTTTATACTGTGCACACTGACCACATAGACTCTTTCGTATGTAGGCTTACCAGCTTTCTCTCATTAGATTTGAAGGCACTAGAATTTATCAGTATGTACTAGTACGGCACCAACCCTGGCGTGCAAGCCGTATTAATACAGCACCAACCCTGTAAGGGTTGAATGAAGCACAAGAGAAAATGATGCTATGAAGAGATGTGGTAAACACGAGATGTATGAGGCTAATGTCAGCATAACACGGGCATTCTGTTTTACAGTAAACTTTTTTATGAGTAGAGAGAGGACACATTAGAATAATGGTAAAAAGTACAGTATAGTAAATACATATATTAAATACATAATCCAGTACATAGTTATTTATTATCCTTATCAAGTATTATGTACTGTACATGACTGTACGTGCTATACTTTTATATGACTGGCAGCTCAGTAGTTTTGTTTACTTCAACGTTATATATGCGGTCCATTATTGACTGAAACATTATGTGACGTGAGTCTATAATTTAGTTTGTGTGTACATGTGTTACATGTGTGGATAGTTATTTGACTACTGTTAAAAGCTTTTAATATAATGTTTTGTAAGTAAATTTAGTCATATTATTTCTTTTGAAACTTTACTTTTATTCTTTAACTTTTTACAGTTTTAGAGTTTTTTGTGTGTATGTTTATATTATAAAGGTAGTAGGTTGGTAGACAGCAACCGCCCAGGGAGGTACTACCGTCCTGCCAAGTGAGTGTAAAACGAAAACCTGTAATTGTTTTATATGATGGTAGGATTGCTGGTGTCCTTTTTTCTGTCTCATAAACATGCAAGGTTTCAGGTATGTCTTGCTACTTCTGCTTACACTTAGGTCACACTACACATACATGTACAAGCATATATATACACACCCCTCTGGGTTTTCTTTCTAGTTCTTGTCCTTGTTTATTTCCTCTTACCTCCATGGGGAAGTGGAACAGAATTTTTCTCCGTAAGCCATGCGTGTTGTAAGAGACGACTAAAATGCCAGGAGCAAGGGGCTAGTAACCCCTTCTCCTGTATATATTACTAAATGTAAAAGGAGAAACTTTCATTTTTCCTTTTGGGCCACCCCGCCTCGGTGGGATACGGCCGGTGTGTTGAAAGAAAGAAGAAAGTTTATATTATATATACAGTGTGGGGAAAATTATTATTTCTGCAATACATTTATGTGAGTGGTGATATATATTGAATTTTAAAATATTGGTTTCCTGTGACAACAGAGAATCTCCTGAAGAATTCCTCTCCAAGTTTGCTAAGAGCAAAGATGTGAAGGAGAGCCAGTCTGGTGGGCAGGGATTCACACAGAAAGCTAAGAAATCCAAGGAATCTCTTCCAAAAGGCTCTTATGCTTTTGCTCCACAAAAGGTACTCATTTTTAATTTCATAAAAGCTCTAAAATTATTGTTTGTGAGCGTTTGTGTCAATCTTCTAATAATTCTGCTGTTTGTCTTTGACAGTGAGTGTGTGTTAGCCTTATGATAATTGTGTTCTTTGTTAATGTCAGTGAGTTTGTTTTGCCTCTAATAATATTGTTTTTCTGTCATCAGTGAGTGTGTGTCAGTCTTGTAATAATCCTGTTGTGTGTGTGTGTGTACTCACCTAATTGTACTCGCCTAATTGTGGTTACAGGGGTCGAATCATTGCTCCTGGCCCTGCCTCTTCACGGGTCACTACTAGGTCCTCTCTATTCCAGCTCCATGAGCTTTATCATACCTCATCTTAAAACTGTGTATGGATCCTGCCTCCACTACAATGTTTTGCAGGCCATTCCACTTCCTGACAACTTTATGACTGAAGAAATACTTCCTAACATCCCTTTGTCCTGCCCCATTGCCTTTGAGGTATTTAGTTTGCTTAGCAGCCTCTTCAGCTCCTCCTTGGTTGTATGTATTGTGTCTAGCACTTGATGGTGTACCCTCCCACTCCAGTTTTCTGGTGTCCTTTCTGTCTCCATTGTAAGCACTTCTCTAAATCTCATGTTGAGCTCCTCACATACTTCCCAGTCGTTTCTCGTGATTTCCCCTCCTTCCTTCCTCATCCTGATTACCTGGTCCTTGACTGTTGTTTTCCTCCTGACTGTTGTTTTCCTCCGGAATTATGCTCTCACGAAGTTAGCGGTCTCAACGATGTTTACGCATCGGCGATTTTGCCCACTTTGAGCCCTATTTTTGGCCAATTCCAGTGTACTTGTCTACAAAAATTATAACTATTTTGCTAGAACTCCATTTTTCTGTTGAATGAGTACAAGAAACCACCCATTTACCGATTTCAACTCTCCAATACAGTGGTCAGAATTTAGCAATTTTGCCAATTTCACACAAATTTCAAAAGATGCCAATTTCCAAATAGGGTCCAGAATAAACAAGAAAGACATTCCTGGCACTAAAATAACATTTCCTCTGTTCATTAGTCATGTCCCCACGCCCCTTTTACATTCTTTTGCTTTCCACTTTGAATTTTTATTCTCACAAAAAAATAGAAGATTTACTGTTATACAGACTACTGCATTAGTGTAGAAATGGTACAAATAATATCAGCGCACTTGTGAAAGAATATTAGACTCACCAGTTGACGTGTATTGGACACATAGCATGATTTGTTTACTTTTGAACTTCGGTAAAAATCGAACATTTCTGCTACTTTGAGCTCAATTTCAAGGTACTTTTCTTTGTAAAACCAGTCAAAATCATTTCAATTTCTGTAATATGTCTTCCATTCTATAAAATGAGACCAGGAAAACTAGAATACAACAATAAATACCATACGAAAATACAGTGCAAAGTCGCTGTTTTAATCCAAAAACACGTTCAGAGTTTTTTTTCTCATTTCGCACTGTGTGCTGCAGGATTTTTTTATACTGTGCACACTGACCACATAGTCCCATTCTTTCATATGTAGGCCTACCAGCTTTTTCTCACTAGATTTGAGGGCGCTAGAATTTAGGCGTACTAGTACGTCAAAAACCCTGGTGCATAAGCCATACTAGTACGGCCGAAACCCTGAAAGGGTTAAAGGAGGGGTTTGGGATATTGGCAGTTTGGAGGGATATGTTGTGTATCTTTATACACTATATCTTTGTACGTATATGCTTCTAAACTGTTGTATTCCGAGCACCTCTGCAAAAACAGTGATTATGTGTGAGTGAGGCGAAAATGTTGAATGATGATGAAAGTATTTTCTTTTTGGGGATTTTCTTTCTTTTTGGGTCACACTGCTTCGGTGGAAGACGGCCGATTTGTTAAAAAAAAAAAAAGTGATACTCGCTTGGTTTGGGTGAATCGCCCACCCATGACAGGATCTGTTGGTAATTCCAGTCAAATCTCACCCCTATTTATTAGCTGCCGCTAACGTAATTACGTGTGGATATGACCGGACTTACCTGAGTACTGTAACTAACCCAATTTCCCCTAGTTTGTGGTAGGGGAAGTATGACTCTGGTATCAACGTCTTGAGTAGGCTGCTACAGATGCGTAGTTATGTCCTCACTCATTGATAGGGAGTCACTTTGGTCAGTTTTTACGCAGTTGGGTGATATCTGGTCCCTTTGCTCATAACACCTGAATGCATACCACGACACAAACTTTACACTTATTGGTATTATACTGCAGGTGATACACTAGTGTTTCCTTTTAACACTAGTTTCCCTAGTGGAGATTGACAGTATTTCAGAGTTTACTGCCCAAGGTCAGTATTTTCTCTGTTCTCAGCTGGAGATTTGTGACGTGTTCACGCTCTCATGTCTGAATTCAACCTAGCTTGTCCTCTGCCCAAGTGCCTAGCAGTACCCCCTCTGCACAAAAGAACTGCTGAGTTCAGCTTTATATCTCTTACCTTTGTAACATTGCAACAGTATTCAGTACAAGGAGGTAAGTTTCTTGTTATCCAGCTATAGACTAGAATTCCTTTACTAGAATTCCTTTACAAGTTGGGACTAATAGTCCCAACTTGTAAAGTGGGGGACAGGTTTTCCCTTAATTTTCCTATGGAGAAAGAGTAATTACTTTTGTTTAACCCTCACTGTGTAATTGATCAAGAATTCTAGCAAGGAGAGGAAAGTGTGCCTCGTTATGCTATGGTACAAACGTGAATTTAATGAAGCTGATTGCAAGGAAGGAAGAGTCCACTAGCCCCTTCTGGGAGGGCAGAATCCCTCAGAGGGCTGAGAGATACCCCCTTTACTGGAGAATTTTCTCCACAACTCTACTCTGTATTCGAAGCTCAGGATCCCATGATCATTAGCACCGAGGGGCCTTTCACATGTGATGTCTTCAATATTGGAACTACTCAGGGTGAATACTAGGTCCAGTCTTACTGGTTCATCCTCTTCTCTCTCTCTGGTAGTGTCCCTAACATGTTGATGCATGAGGCTTTCCAGTGCCACCTCCATCGTCTTAGCCCTCTGTGTTTCTGGGCCCCCAGGTAGCTCCAGGTTTTCCCAGTCAATTTCCTTGTGATTGAAATTACCCACAACTAATAGTTTTGCCCTGCCCACATGGGCCCTCCTTGCCACTTCAGCCAGTGTGTCCACCATTGCTCTGTTACTCATATTCTTGTCCTGGCCTCCTACTATTCTGTGGTGGGTTATACATCACTGCAATCACCATCCTGGGACCTCCAGTCTGAAGTGTTCCTACTATGTAGTCCCTTGTTTCTCCTCTGTCTCCTCTTTCCAACTCCACAAACTTCCACTGGTTTCTAATGTATAGTGCAACTCCACCTCTTCTATTTCCTCTGTCTTTCCTCATGATCTGATGTCCAGTTGGAAAGATAGCATCTGTTATCATTCCTGTGAGCTTGGTTTCCGTGAGAGCTATGATGCCTGATGATGTCTCTGATTCTTTCATACCACTCCTCCCATTTATTTGTTATTCCATCAATGTTGGTATACCATACCATCAGTTGTGGGGGCTGGGGAAATGGGAGACTGGGCAGGGTGCTATGAGAGTCTACTGCATAGTTTGGGGTGGGGGCTGTGAGTGTGGAATGTGGCTCATATATGTCTGGTTATGGGGTTTTGTGGGTGTTTACACTTGCTGCTCCACTCGTCTCTGGTTGTCCCCTACCAACTCTAGCCTTGTCTCTCTTTCTTGCCCCTTTTGTCTTTGTGTCCTCTCTCAGCTTCTGTTGTTCTGTTCTTGTTCTGTCACAGTCTAGGTACACCATTCCATATGATGCTGATTCCTTTAGCTGTGGCAGAAACTACGGCTAAAGGAATGACTGGCCAATTTCTTCCCCTTAGTATTCCCTATTCTTTGAAAATTTATCAGCTCAGTCATGTCCTACTCTCATGTTCGTTTGATGATATTTTCAATCTCTTCTTTCTCTGCCATCTTTTCTTGTATGTCCTCCCTTTGTTCTCCTGAAGCCCATGGATAAAGACTAACCTCTCCCTCTCCTCCTCCCATTGCCATTTCCTCTGCACCTCTGGGTCCCATTCAAACATAGCTATTTCCTCCCTTATCATTTCCTGGATCTCCTGGTGGCTGGATTGGACTTCTGTTAGATTTGTTAACCAATTTTAAATGTTCCCTCCAAGGCAACAAACATCTGTGTGTTATGGTAGACCATTTCACCAGATATTGTTAGTTCCTATTGCAGATAAGACTGCCGAGACAGTTGCTAAAGAGTTTAAAGAACGCATTATCTGCAGGCATACCACCCCTAAGTCCTTAGTAACAGATAATGGAGGTGAATTCTGTAATGAGATTCTTGAAAATTTGTGTACCTTGTACAAGATCTCTAAATCTACCATTGTTCCTCATCATCTTGCCAGCAATGGGTTAGCAGAACGTACAAATAAGAAAGTACTAGATGTTTTGAGAGCCATTATCAACCCCAATAGTGAAACCCAGGATGAAGTTATGCCAGATGTTCAATGTTCCATAAATTCTGCTTACAATGCTTCTGTAGGTGACACTCTACATTATGTTTTGTATGGTGTAGACAAGTGTTTACCCTATGAGTTGTTATATTCCACACCAAAACCCAATTACAGCCCTGATGATTTCATAGCAACTCGTACCAGCATAGCTCAAAGTGTTTTTAGAAGAATTCGTGAAACACTTCATAAATCAACAGCAGAATTTACTAGAGTAACTAATAGCCGTGCTAAGCTGACAAAAGTTAAAGTGGGTTCGAGAGTAATGCTGACTAATTTCAACAAAACATCCGCAATGCCTAAGCTCTACCAAAAGTTTGTTGGCCCTTATCGAGTAGTTGAACATATCAATGGCAATAAGTATAAGGTTAGAGAAATTAGTACTGGTCAGTACGAAGAATTGTATTTAGATCATATGAAATTAGTATGCGATGTCGAGGATGATAATTCTACCCAGACTAATGTGACAGATGCTGACAATCCTCTT